TTATTCACAGCCAAAAATGGTATTCCTACCTCTTTATTTTTTTCACTTTCTATAATTCTAACATTTGGAGCACTTTGCCCCATGTCCCTCTGCGGAAAACCGCCTCTAGTTTTGAAATTACCCACATTGCATTCCTCCCTATTATGACCAAATCGACCACAACCTGCACATCGTAGCTTATCACGTCTTCCTGAACAAAACGTGGCTATATGTCCATATTTTCCACATTCAAAACATTTCGTTTCTTGGCAATCTCTGACCATATGTCCCTGTCTTCCGCAATTATAACAATTCATTCTCCCCCTTACTCTTGAATCAAAGTTAGGTCTCATTTCTCCTCTCCTTCCCTGTGAACTTTCTCTAGGTCCCCTATATGTCCCCAATCTCTGATTAGTATATGAATCTCCCCTTTCAGGCCTATAGGTTAATTTATCTAATTCGCTATCCGTCCACCCATTAATTAACTCCTGCACTGGGAACCATGTTACCTTTCCCATAACATCCTCTTCCCCATTATGTCCTTCTATAGTCAATGTCTGCCCCTTTATTTTCACACTTCGACTTCTTCTCAACTTTCTTCCCCATATTAAGCTACACATCCATATTACTAATATAACCAATGCCCCAAAAATATTATATTGTATTTCCCAGTATTTTACAAATTTTAAACTTTTCATTTCGACCTTATAAAAAATTTATAATTAATTTCAAAATAAAAATTTTTGTTATTTGTAATGTTAATAGATATGATATTATTAATAGTGTAAACAACCCAATAATACACATGTACATCTACAGTTAATAAGTCTAAAGATACGACAAAAATTTGGGCAAATTTTGTGTAACAGATTTACAACTCGTAAAATTCGGACAGCACTTCCGTACGATAAGACTTTTTTTTTATTTTGAGAGAGCAGAGAAAGGAAAAAAAAATAAATGGACAAATTTTGTGTAACAGATTTATAACTCGTAAAATTCGGACAGCACTTCCGTACGATAAGACTTTTTTTTTATTTTGAGAGAGTAGAGAAAGGAAAAAAAAAATAAATGGACAGCTGATGTCGATGATGAAGACGATGTATACTTCACTTCAAGACTCAAATACCACTATATGATATTTTTCACTCGAAGACTCAAATACCACTATATGATATTTTACCGCAAATGTAGATGAAGACGATGTACAATTCACTTCAAGACTCAAATACCACTATATGATATTTCCACTCGAAGACTCAAATACCACTATATGATATTTTACCGCACCACTATATGATATTTTCCACTCGAAGACTCAAATACCACTATATGATATTTTACCGTAGATGTAGATGAAGACGATGTACACTTCACTTCAAGACTCAAATACCACTATATGATATTTTCCACTCGAAGACTCAAATACCACTATATGATATTTTACCGTAGATGTAGATGAAGACGATGTACAATTCACTTCAAGACTCAAATACCACTATATGATATTTTCCACTCGAAGACTCAAATACCACTATATGATATTTTACCGTAGATGTAGATGAAGACGATGTACAATTCACTTCAAGACTCAAATACCACTATATGATATTTTCCACTCGAAGACTCAAATACCACTATATGATATTTTACCGTAGATGTAGATGAAGACGATGTACACTTCACTTCAAGACTCAAATACCACTATATGATATTTTCCACTCGAAGACTCAAATACCACTATATGATATTTTACCGTAGATGTAGATGAAGACGATGTACACTTCACTTCAAGACTCAAATACCACTATATGATATTTTCCACTCGAAGACTTAAATACCACTATATGATATTTTACCGTAGATGTAGATGAAGACGATGTACAATTCACTTCAAGACTCAAATACCACTATATGATATTTTCCACTCGAAGACTCAAATACCACTATATGATATTTTCCACTCGAAGACTCAAATACCACTATATGATATTACGACAACCGCACTAACCAGGTTGCTTTGTATAAACACGGCACCAATTTCAAAATTTCACCGTACAGAAATGTTTAACTTAACAGTATATTTATTTATTTTTTTACCCCTTTTTTTTTTTGAATAAATTGGTTTTATTTTTCTTTAAAACAATAAAAAAATATAATTGATAATAATGATGAATTTCCACTTTTTTTTAGTTTATATAAGATTATTATTATTTTTTTTTTATAAATATTAAATTATTATTTATTTTTTTTTTACATAATAAATATTAAAAATATTTATATAATGACGTTCAAGATGACTGCGCGAAACAAAAAAAATATTTTAAAATTTTTGTCGAGGTCCGAGTTCGACCCTATCCAAAATAAAATTTCAAAAATCGAGATCCCAATCCAATCAAATCGTGCATGGTCCAAATTTATTAAAATGCGATAATTAAAATAACTCATCGTATATAATAAGCAAGATTTATGTGGGAAATACAAAAAATAGCCAAGCGCGTCGCGGGTAATACCTATGGGTGAGAAAGGGGGGAAGGGGGGGGGGTGGGTTTGGGATAATTAAATTTACCACCCTTCCCGCTGCGTAAGCACATGTTTTTTTCGAGGAAACATTTTTTCCCCCTCTTACCAATTTTGAATATTTTCTGGTTTTTATACTTCTATTTTACAGGTAATATCTTATTTTAATTTATATCGATTTTAGAAAATGAAATATGTGAATTCTGTAGTGCATAGGCAAAAATATTTTATTATAAATGATAATTTATTACTATATATGAATACTTTGCTTATCTTTTTTTATAACAATTTTAGAAAGTGAAATAATGTAAATTTTGTAGCAGGCGAGTAACTAAACCCCTAGCAAATTTATCTGTTGTAAACGCTATTTTAAGCTAAAAATTATCCCCCCTACACAGCCATCACCCCCAAAAAATGTAAACAATATATCACGAATTTAAACAATAAAACTTAATAACTTTTTAAATAAAGATTATTTAGAAAAAAAACATTTTTATTTTAAAAAAAGGTTAAACCCCAAAATTATTTTTATAAAAATCTAATATAGCCAAAAGGCGTACAATAAGTGGACTTAAAGATATTCAATAAAATTTATGGGAAAAACCCCACATAATAAGTACCCCCCCCCCTCATGAATCCCTGATATACTTACGTTTTTTTTAAGTGTGGTTAATAATATTTTATTATAAATGATATTTAAGGGCTATGAATTAATTTTTAGATTTATTTGTAAATAATGCATATATCTATTATTTATACGGAGTATAAAAAAAATAAATTGCATAATTTTGAGTAGATATTTCGTTATGTTCTCCAAACCATGAATCTGAACCCTATTTTTATTAAATTTTATTTCTGAATCCAGACCTGGACACTTTTTTTTGTTAGACATACCTGTTAAAAGCAAATTTGGGGACCGGGGTGGGGGGGGGAAGGCATCTGGCTACTGGATAAAAAAATGGCAATATTTTAAATTTAAAAGACAGCCGTTTTGAATATTATTCTATCAAGCTAGCATAATTTTTAGTTTAATTGAGTTAATAACACGATGAATCAGGGTAAAATTATTATATATTTTTTTTAACAAACAAAGATGAAAAGATGAGATGGGAAAAAAAAAATATTTTGATTCTGCCAAAAGTTTGTTAAAATTGGCCGATTCAAATATATCGTAAATGGCGGTTAAAAAATTAATTATATGATTCAATTGAAGCCATGGAAATATTTGGATAGCCGATATAAAGCATTTATAATTATTTTATTTGTTCCCTGTGACCCATATTATCGCAGCCAAATGAGCGATAGAGAAGTTGGGTGAGCTATGCAAACCTGTCAATCTCCTCGCGTTATTTTGCTTACATGACAATCAGCATGCTAGGGTTAGATAAAATCGTTAACTTTTTATGTTCAATGATTAAAATCCTTACGTTCTTTTGACATAAATTAGTATAATTTTGTTTTGATATATCAACAAAATTTTTCGAAATTCTGTGCATCACCAAAAAAAAAGATTACAACAATAAAAGCTATTTTGAAATTTATAATTTTATTTTGAAATTTACTTTATCTCATCCATAACTCCACATCTCAAATGCAAATGTTTCAATCAATGGTAATGTTCTTTGTTTTATTGCAAGGTTTTAAAAAAAAATATATGGATTAAAGGTCTAATTTATAAGGAATATAAACAAAGCCCGATCCCAATTCATATTTTAGTAGTGTAAGGTAAAATGGTTAATAAAATAATTACGTTTGACTTTTCGTAATGCATAAAAAAAATTGATAATATTTTATACATTATCCTTCCTTATCTGCTGAAAAAAAAAGTGCGATTACGATTATGATTTAATTTGAAAAAGAAAGAAATATCAAAAAAATTAATTTAATATAAATAATATTAAAAAAAAATGTTTGCACTGATGAAAAAATGCTTGTGATATTTAAAAAAAAAATGATTATTTACATAGTAGAGAGAGAAGAAAAAGAAAATGTAAAATATTAAATTAACCTATATTTTTCTTAATGTATTAAATATCAAAAAAATAATGATATTTTTATAATAATTTCATTAATTGCGTATTCCAAAAAAAAAAAATCAACTGAAACTTTATATTTCTTATCAAAAATGTTTTAAATTTTTTTTATTTTAAATAAAAAATTTAAATTTATAAATTAGGAGAAAATAGATATATAATATACTTTAAATTTTATTAAACCTTAACAGCGCGGGTTTTTAATTAGAATTTTAATTGTGCTTATTACAGCTGAGTGATTCCTCTGTTTATAACTGGCTAAACATAGTTTTTAGCTTAAAAATATCACTTTAGCTGGTGCTTTTTTTAAAAAAAAAATAAAACATAAATTAGCTCGCAGAGCATTAACCTTTATGTTCATAGATACTAATTACTCAGCTAGCTATACTTACAGCTAATATTTCTATTATAAAAATGATCATTTAATTTTCAGAATTTTTTTATTAAGGGGGTCATAGTCTCATATATATCTGTATAAAAAAAATGTACATTGCGTTTTTAATAAATAAAGAATATAAGGATTTCTATATATCTGATAACCTAGAATTTTATAATTATACATTTTATTACATTTTTAAATTTTTTTTAATCATTACAAAAGTTATTTGCGAAAATTTATTTATTTGGTATCAAATTGTCTAATTACTGTCCCGTTTGTTGATAATATCTTAGAGGAGCTACGAAAGATTTTGATCGCATAAATTTCTTGTTCTCCATCTCGTTCAGGTTTGGATTAATGTTAGATGGGCCGACGACTTTGTTGAAAAGCTTAATCTTATCACTTATTTTATTGGATTTTGTGATCAAATTTAGGATATCGTCTTTAGAAGTAATGGAATTGGTTCTGGTTTCGTATGCGGGACTGTATAGGTTTATGGAATTCCCGATGGCGTTCGCAGGTAAGGAACATTTTTTGTTTGAGCAATCGGGAATTTTCTGTTGCACAGGGTGCGCAACGGGAGGATGTGGAGAAAGAACTTTTTCTTGACTATTTTTAAATTTAGACGATTCTTTGTTAAAATTGCATAGGCTGCTTTTAGACCTGTCGAGAATACCTGTGAGCCTCGATTTATAATCGTTTTTTGTACCACTTTTACCCAAATTTAATTCGTCTAAATCACCGGGCATATCAACGATTGAATTTTCTACGGCCTGCGATTCGCGTTGTCTTTGACGGGGGGTATTCGTTTTATGCTTCAGTCGGCGATGATTGTGGTAGGAGTTGTTGTAGTACTTTGGACTGGGATCTATAGTAACCCGCTCCCAGTTTATGTCCACTTTGGCCTCGTCCTCGTCAAGAATGTTACCGAATTCTAGGTTCGTCACGTCATCTTGATCGTACCTGGAAAAGGAGGTGGCCATGTTGTTGGGTAAATGGTAAGGGGGGACGTGCGAGCCTGAATTATCGTGTAAAGAGGGTGTAGTTGGTTGCATCTGTCGCGATAAGGAAGGAGCTTTGGTCATTTGATTGAAGGTATATATTTCCGATTCAGCTAAGGCCCGGGTGTCTCTGGCGTTGGAATAATTGTAAACTTCTAACGCATCTTTGTCGGTAAACCTTCCATCTTCTGGTCCATTTCGTGAATCCCTTTCAAAGTGGCTATCTTTTTTCTCGTTTTCATCCATCATTACTATTTTGGGTAGTAAAGGGCGATTAACGTGTTTGTTATCATAATCGCTGGGCTCTTCGGAAGTACCTTCTTGTTTAGGCAGTTTCCACTTTATTGCTGCTGCGGGCGTTGAAGAGGCAACGGAATGAGCGGCCGAGCTTTCACCTTTACCCGAATCCGGGGCTGGCGCGCCGCTTGTTTTACTGGGGTGTAGCAGAGAAGGAATGGTATAAAGAGCGGAACGAAACGGGTTATCATCACCCATATCGCAGTGAGGTTTCATTCGGGAGTGAATCCACGCGTTATTTACTACGTAGTTATGCGAAATCAATTTAGTAGTGGGTACAGGTGGAGAAATGGGAGGAGCGATAGTATTTATTAGAGGAATATTAAAACCGTTGCCATCCGCCGGAACCGATTTAGATTTGACTTTTTTATGATAATTGGTAGAATTAGTAAAAATTCGATTCTCCGCGCTGTCATGGTTGACTTTCCACCGCTCGAAGTTGGTAATAGGGATAATTATCTCGTTGGAATCCGGAGATTCCATAAAATACTCACGCAGTTCGCTGGTTTCGGGTGGCTTATCGTGTTTGGGTTTAATGATGACGTGGGTAGCCGAAAAGTTTGGAGCGGTTTTGCCACGTTGGCGATAAACAGCAGTTGAAAGATGGGAATCGACCCTAAGTTCGTTTCGTGTGGGTGGAGACGAAAGTCTTTGATTGAGGTCATCCCCGTTTTTATTTTTGATGATATCGACTGACAATTTGGTGTGGTTGTGATTAGGAGATTTTGAAAGAGATCGTCTCTCCCAATCGTAGGGGGTGTGGGGAGTATCTCCTATGCGGTCTCTCCAAGCTAAGAGAAGCGAACGGAGATGGGAATAATCGGGGATGTCGTAGTATGAGTCCAAAGTTGTCAGATATTCGTGAAACTGTGCCAGTTCAGGAAAGGCTTCGCCGCGACGTAGTGCGGCCCCAAAATCAAAGGTCTCCTTGATGCGGGCAACGGCATCTTTGTCACGGACTTTGCGCCATGGCAAGTTGCCTAATGCGAATTCCACTAGAACGTAAAACAGGGACCAAATGTCGTCGCGGCGCGAGAGGTCTTTGTTGTGATGAGCGTTTACGGATGCATATCGGACAGTGCCTCGAAAACCGGCAGCCTGTCTTGGTGGACGCACTTGACCAAATGAGTCTACGTATTGCCGGGCCAGTCCAAAATCAATCGCATATATGGTTCGGTCTCGACTTCCATTTCCGACCAATTTTTCTTTATTAATTTCTGTGTCTTCTTCACGGCCGTCCTTATCCGAGGCGGGATAATTAAAACCTGAGTCGCGGGAAGAGTGGTGACACGAGGAATCACGCTTGCGACGTCGTTCCCTAGTCGAATCAAAGTTGGGAGCAGCGACGGCAAAGTTAGAAGGCTTAACATCGCGATGCAAAAAACCTGCCTCATGCACATCGCGAAGAGCTCGCAACATTTGAAGGCCCGCATTAGCACAGGTAGCAGGAGAGAAAGCACCACCTGGTCTCAACCGACGTAGATGGGCTAGATTGCCACCACGAAGAGACATGACCATGTAACTAAAGCGATCGTTACGACCGCACCCGAGCAGGCGGCAAAAGTTAGGCCGACCCTGAAGTCGCTTCAATACAAACACTTCCATCTTAAGGACCTGTTTGCAGGCAGGCGTGCCACCGTTGATAGAAGACCCTGAGTCCCGTGCTGGTTCCACCTTGATAGCTACATGATCTTCGCTCGTCCCAGCTGCGGAGGTCACGTCCACAGCCTCGTAAATGTCCCCAAAACCTCCTCCACCTATCTTACGCGTTACGCGCCATCGATCTTTGATAATTTCGCCTGGGATTACTATCTCAGGAAATTCCCCCTGGTTACCACGCGTTTCTCGATCCCTTTCTGGCTTTTGCCGTGACGGGTAAAAAGCCGTAGTGTAAGGAGAAGGCGATCGAGAGAAGCCCGTAACTAGAGCACCTTCGCCGTTTTTCACTAGTATTTCTTTGAAACCGGGCATGCGCGACTTTATTAATTCAATTGTGTTATGATAATTTAAGTGCGTGTTCGCTTAGCGTAAGATATAGATTATTTTTTATTCACCCAAAATAAATGAGCTATGAAGAATATTATCATTTTTGAGAGGCACATTACATGACAACCTTCTAATGCGAAAGTACGAAAGATTTGAAGGCCATTGATTTATGTAGAGGTAAAATAAATTCGCTTTTTTAAGACTATTAATTATTTGAATGCAAAATTTCACAAATGATTTGCACTGTTTTTTATATTACAGTTTTCTGCGAGGATTAAAAAAAAATTTGAAATCAATTGTCGAATTTTGATTGTAAACACCTGTTCGTTTCATAATACACCTAGCATCAAAAAAAATGATTTGTCACGAATCGATCCTTGATTATCTCTTGTTTTTGTATTGGGAATATGAAAAGAATGTTACCGCACGTTCTAATATAGAATATTATCGTTCCACAGTCCAAATAAACTTAATTAAAATTAAAAAAATTTATATAAATTTATTAGCCAAAACATCTTATAGATAAAGCTGCTTAAATTATTTTTTTTATATATATATAGAACTTAAAGGAATTAATATTATTTAAAATGTAATAATCAACTTCAATTTTAAATGTTTGTTTTTTATATAAAAGAAAAATTTGAATTTGATGACATCAAGAGATAATAATACATTATAAATCCCCAAGGTAAATGGAATATTATACAAAAAATAAAATTAAAATATGGATGAAGCAGTACATTGTATTTTACTAAACAATCAGTGTGAAAAAAAGCCTTTTATGTGAAATTTTAAAAAAAATGTTGCTTGTTTAATATCGTTTTATTCAAAAATGTTACAAAAATCACTTTTTCATTTTTTTTTGGTACCATAAACTTTTAATCAAATTTATTCAAAAACAAAAAAAAAATCAAATAAGAGAGTTGCAGTTTCAATAACTAAAAGAGTTATTAGTTTTTTCCTTCATTCACTTCACCACGAAATATTTATCTCGTTGTTAAGATTTTGTAACAAAAAAAAAAAATTTTCACGAATTTGGAAAGGAAAAGAAAATTTAAGACAATTTTATTTTATTTTTTGTTAATAAGACAATATTTGATACAAAAAAACAGATTGAATAAATTAAAATTTAAACTATTTGTCACAATATGGGAGAGGAATAAGTTGACAAAGAAAAATGCAGCGATTTAAACCCTGGTATACATATTTATCTGTAAATGATCTCTATGACAAACTTAGGTTCAAAATTGAGAAGCCATATAAAATATGGGTTAGGTAGGGGTTACTATATAATTTAAAATAATAACTACTAGAGATGTGCAAAGCTCGGCCAGAATTTTTGAGCAAATAAGCCGGCCCAGCCGGTTAAAATTTTATGAAAAGTCACACTCGGTCTGATCAGTTTTAAAATCATAGGAAACTCCATTGGTTAAAATTTTTTATATAATTTCCGGTTTTCACATTTTACTATGTATATTTAATTTTTTTTCCTCTAATGTCAATTATCTTTAATCTCTCCTCTATGACTATCTAGTTTTTTTCTTTCTACATTTCATAAATCAATTGTAGTTGATATCTGCATAGCGTATATTTGTATTATAATTAATTCATATCATAAAATAATCTGTTCATTTTTGTGAATTTGAACTAACTATATTATTATATTATTTATATAAGTTAGAGAGCCATTGAAATACAAAAAATTAGCATATTCTAATTTATTATCAAATAGTATTAATCAAAATATTATATATAAATTCAAAAAAATTATATCAAAATTTTAATGGCCCAAAATAATTTATGTACGCTTGTCCGGCCCGACTTATAATTTTTTTGCTTGGGACGGGCTTTGCGGATCTCTAATGGCTACATTTCCCAAAAGAAAATCAAGTATATATCTCAACCAATATAATAGGGTTAAAAATTTAAATTTTACATAACAATTAAACACCCATCTAATATAGATTAATCCTATGAGGTCCAATTATCATTTTAAGCTGGCAAAAGATGTTTTATTTTGAAAGTTTATAATGTGATTTATTTATTATTTTTAAATAACAAATAAAATAAATAGACGCTTACTTATAATAAAATACTTGAATAAATCCTCAAATCAACAATGTATAAAAAAAATGATATCTGTTATTATTTAGCAAATAATCGAAGAAATTTGTTTGGCAAAATATTTTCCGTGGATTTTGTTTGGTTATTTGATATAGGAATAAAAATAAAAAAAGTTTATTTGAGCCAATTAATCAAAGGGTAATAAATAAAAGGAGGAAAAGAAAAGGTTATCCGAGTGCGAATACAAAAAAATGTGAGAATTAATAAATTGAAGCAAACAAGAATCATTAACTTTAAAATTAAAATTTATTTCATTTGTTTTACAAAATATATATGTTTTGTGTATTTAAATTTTTAAAAATATAAAATACCAAACGATAAAGGACGCGCTAAATTATAATAGGTTTCATCCTCCAAAAAAAATAATAAAAATTATTGATTAAAATAAGAAAATATTAAGTGATTTTAGTTAAAAATCGATATTTAAATTTTAAAATATCATTGAAAAAAAATCTTAAGTTAATGAGAATTGTATTATTCTTATTACTAATAATAGTGCGCTATTTATAATTAGTTTTAAAAGTTATCGGTTAATTTATCTTTTATAATAAATATAATAATTATTTACATATTTAATTCATAAATAAAAATAATATTATATTTATAATGCATGCATTTATATGCATGTAATGTATAAATTCGAATATTTAGATTTAGAGAACTCCTTACATTTTCATACGTTGTATAATCATTTGAAACAATTGAACAGATGATGATAAATTATTTATAATTAATAATTTTATCTTATATATTATATTTGAAAGATTTTGTGATTCGTAACATATTTCAAGAGAAATTTTATTTAAAAAACACAAAATTGATCAAAATGCACAAAAGCGGTTGAAAGTTTGTGTTTTAAATTCATAAAAAATGATAAATGAGAGTTTTTTTTTGAGGAATATGTAAGAAAGTGAAATAATTTTTTTTAGATAAAAATTCATCATTTTATAATAAAGGGACCCGCGGTTTAAACCATTAATAAATAATTTTACATTTTCTTCCGTTTATATCCTTTTCCTTGTTAATATATACGCCCCAAATTTGCTTTATTACAGATAATACCAAACGTCAAAAAAAAACCTATTATTGTTTACTGTAGCAGATGAAATCCATCTATCTCATACTAGAAGGATTGATGGAAATAAAAGGAAATTATATGAAATGGGAAAGGATGAAAGAACTGATCTATGTAGAAATGCATAGGAAATAATCAAAAATATTTTTAAAAAGCAATTACTAACGATTTTATAAACTGAACGATTATAATTGGTGGGATTTTTATGCAGCATGGCCAAATTTATCTGATAGTAAAATAAAAGTTACAAATTTCCCTCTTCTCACCATCTTTCACCTTGAAGCAAGAGAGACTCATATTAAAAATGATGGACTTTGTGCAGCATTATAAGCGTACTTGCGGTTCCAAAAACACAACTTCCCGTTGAAAGGTGGGGCATTATAATTTGTGTTATCGTGGAAAAGAACATATAAAAATTCAGTTATATTGGAAAATATATTGCCTACTCATAGTTAGCGCGAATTCGTAGCGAAGTATACAAAAATTAATGCAAAATTATTATATTGTCATATTTCGCTGCCGGACCTGCAAGGGTTATACGTTCAAATAATGTATATTTAGAAATAAATTGTGATTTTTTTGTATTATTTAATTTTTATATATCAGAGACCTGCAGCGGAAACATTTTCACGGCCCGGAGCGGGTTTTATATTTTCAGGCCCGGTCCGGATTTTTATTTTTTATAGCTAATAACGATTTTAAATATTCGGTTGTAAAATATACGGCCGGGCCTAAGTATTCAAAAAAAAATTAAAATATGCCCTATGCATGTCTCTGTTATATGTTATTATTCGTGGATATTTTATAATAAAAATAAACTAATTTAATTTCATCTATTAAATAAAAAAAGAACAATATATAAAAGATTCATAATTAAAATGATATAAGATGGTGTTGTACACTAAAAAAAAATTAAAACTTTTTTAGAACCGCCATGAACCTTTATAACTTACTGATTTTAACCGAACCGTTGTAAATAAAAGTATGGTTGTGCCGATCCAAATATTTTTCACCGATTCGATCCTATATTTTCCGATATTACTAAAAAAAAATCGATCCGATATTTTCATTGATTTTTATTTACCATCTATCTTTGTATAAATATTTTCAATTTAAAAAAAAAACCAAATAAATATTGGCTAAGCCTCGAGATCTCGTTGATAGATGTTCAAAACTTTGTGTCATCTAAGTGAAATCTTAAGGCATGATACACATTTAAATGAATGAACTGTAAATCTAGATATTATTGTATATCGTTGACCCTTTATTTTATTTAAATTAATGGCATATCAAATAGGAGGCAATAAAATTATTGATGAAATTATTAAGTGATGTTAAAAAAATTAGAAACAAGCAGTCCTCGACAAAAACCCGATGGGGCATGTGGGCCGGGATAATAAATAAGTTATATAAATTCACAAGTTTAATTAATAGTCTGCAGAGTTAGGCCCGGGCCTAATACTATTTAAAATAATCGGGTTCGGGCCGATCCCAATATTTTAAAAAAAATTTGGGCCGGGCCGGGTGGGACCTTGGAATTTTTTTTAAATATATCTAAATTTATAAATTTTATATTGAATTTTTTATGTAAAATAAAAATATTTGATTTTATTTATTGTTAAGTAATTATAAAAATTAATTTCTATATTTAAATAAATTCGGGCCCGGCCGGTTTATTTTTTTTAAAAAATTCGGGTTCGGGCCAGGCCGGTAAAACTTTTTTAAAAAAAATTTCAGGCCGGGCCGGGCTTGGATCACTAATTTAGACCGTGTCCTGACTCGACTTGTCATTAAACAGCTGGCTGTTTAAATTCGACTAAATAGCCTAAAAAGTAAAAGAAAAAACAAAAAAAATACCAATAATAACAATACCAACAAATACTTAAATTAAAACTAATAAAAATAAGGTGTCAGGCGCGTAGCAAGCGAGGGGGAGAAATCCCCACCATAGCAAAATTTCCTGAAAAAATGTAAAAGGGCTTCATGAATCGTGAGCAAAGTATTCTATATCAAATAGGTTATATTCTATTCTAAATATTAAAAAAAATTTTGATTAATTTAAATATTTATTTCTTGTACAATAATACTTTATGCCACAAAAATTTTAAGTTCATTTTCCTAAATTTTTTAAAAACACTGATGGATATATAATAAAATTTTATCAACCAAAAAAATAGAAAATTTCTATAGTTTATGAAATGTTTAGATATCAAAATTGACAGAATTTTCCGAATATAATTATTTCTGAGACTTCTTGTGTTACAGGGAAAAAAACTGTGAAATGCCTGCACAAGATGGAGTCTCCGACAGCAAGCTGTTACAGCATTTTTTGGATCTAAAATAACCTATTTTGTATGCCCTTGGCAATTATCAGAATCATCTGAGACACATATTTCATCTGACTGTTACATTATTAGATTTAATAACGGCTGCCGATTTTTTCAATAGAATGTATTAATAAATTATTTAAATTTTATGCAATATTTTTCAAAAAAAATGGAATGGGCTGAAGTTATGAGAATCGGGAATATTATATTACAACTTAGAAGACCAAAAGCTGATCTTTTGACTTTAATTTTGACTCAAATAAATGAATGATTTGTGATTTATCAAATGGCTCTATCCAATTTACAAATACTATATCTAATAGATCCCTCTGATCTGAGGATAAATCAAATCTTGATATTGAAAAATTAAATATTTGGCTAAATTTTATCCATAGAATATAAATAATGTAAAGACCAATTAATTTCAGAATTCAAATGGTAAGAAATTTGGGGATAATCCTCTAAAAAACTACAGAAGCATTACATACAAAGTTTTTCATACATATATATTAAATTTATATTAGAGTATATTTTGGCAATTACAAGCGCAAATGGGAGGATTTTATCTTCATTACAGAGAATAAAAACCTATATCAAAAGTATGAAATCTTGAAACTGATTGAATATACTAGCTTTACTCATCGAGTTCTAATCACCAACACAAAACAAATTAAACGATTAAAAGATTGGCGCAATCGCAAAGAAGATTAAAATTTCATTTATAAAAAATATCTTCTAACTTTTTAAATTTCTATAAAATGTTTAATTTTATATTTTATTGTAATTTACATATGTAAGCTATAAAATTTTTTAACCATTATTATATTCGCTCTCAATATTTTGTATCTTACAATATTTTATTATTTGTGTTCAATAATGATATTTTCAAATATGGTTGCTTTTAATAAATTTTATATGATGGTTAGTTCTAATAAATTTATAAAAAAAATTATCCCCCTCCCCTCCGTAGAAAATTCCTGGTTATGCGCTTGTAAGGTGTCCTAATTCAAAAGCTCGATTAGCCTAAATAAAATCAAAGCTTTTTATCTTATAAGTAAAAAGAAATTAAGCATCAACATTAAATCAACCCAGGAGATGGCCTGTTAGATTAATTTCTGTTCAAAGATAAAACAAGATATAATTTGTGTCATTATTAAAAAAAAATATTTTTCTACATTTTTTTTGAATCGATAAGGAATAATGAACATTTTAAGAAAATATTTTAAAAAGGCTTACAAATTTCTGTTAAATATGAAATTAAATCTCCCAAAAAGGTCAAAAATAAAATAATATTTTTTAATGAACCCTATTATACCAAGCCCAAAGAAAGATTCAAAGTAAAAAAGTATTTTCTCTTCTAGATATAAGATATCTAAAATAAATTTTCATTTTCCAAATCAGATTTTATTAAATTTACCATTTCCCAAAATATTCAAAATATTAAATTAACGTCAAAAGAGCTATTAAAAAATGTCGGCAATTTGATTTTAACAAATAAAAAAACTAGAGAAAATGATATTTTAACAAATGATCTTGCTGGTAAAATAATTAAGTTGTTAAATATAAAACATGTTAACCAGTATAATTTTACATTAAGTTTTATTAATTGCCAAATATTACAATTAAGGCTTAATAACTGTATTCCTGTCAGTTGTCACATTTTGATTGTATAATAATTGGTAATAATTTATACTAAAGTGGTCATTTAAGAAGATATAAAAATATTTTTTTAAATGTTCAAATTTAAAAGTGAGATAAAATTATCTAAGCTTAATGAGAATTTATATTACTAGTTAAAATTTATATTGATAAAAAAATAGAAAATAAGCAATTTTTGGTGCAGCGGCTTTTATTGCCCAGTCTACAGAAGTAAGAGAATAATTTGGCTAATACATATAAAATCTAAGGTTTTAAAGGGGAGGATTTTGCTGCCTACATCCTTGCTCAACCTAAGGTAGGATCTTATATTAACTAATTCAACTTTAATCTATCCATTATAATAAGCTAAAATAAGTCTACACTAAAAATTTCTTATTTTAACAAATATAAAATGGTTAGCATTCTATCTTGATTCTACATTTTTATAATGTCTTTTGCCATGTTATTATTTATGATGAGAACATATATAATCAATATGTTACAAAGCTCTTATAAAGTAGAATTTTATGACCAAGTCTTTTCTTTTCAATGATTATTTTTAGGTAATTAAAATTATTTGCAAAATTATTTCTTCGTATTGTCAAAAAAAGATGATATAAACAAATTTCTCAAATTTATTATGTTAACAACATATTATATTTATTATTATATTAGGTATGAAGTTCAACTATAAAAAAAATTACTTAATGACTTTTCAATCAGGTGAATTGACGAGTATAAATTTATTATCTTGTGTTTAACATAAAATAATGATATCAGAGATTAAAAAATTTTCTGACATATGTCCGTCATGACAAATTAAAAAATTAAATTTTATTTACTTTTGCATATTAATAATATTGTAGCCAGTAGTGTCACTAGGAGGGAGGAGTATTTAGGGGCCCCACTCAAAAATTTGACTAGACCCTGAACGAATTTTATTTTTTAATGACTCCCTAACCCGCATCTGATTACCCTGAACAATTTTTTTTGGATTTATGTAATATATATAGACTTGATACTTCTTAAAAAATATATTATTGGTTAAGGGTTAATGATATTGAATATTTGTTATATTATATGTTTAGATGTATATTGTACATGCAATTTTGAAAATAGGTATGATCTTATTATTTGGTAGGCCTTAAGACTCATTGAATGGTGTTATAGGTATTCCGTCATAGGAAAAGTAGACCTCAAGATATGCAGGACAGAAAGGATTGTTGAATATTTAAATATTGGGGACTTATGAAAATATATATAGAAGTGGATTTTTGTAATAAAATATTAGTTATATAATTATGCATTTGGGCTTTTAAAGAGATGGACATGTGTGGGATGGTTTATTTTTAATTAATGTTACTATATTGTATATGTAATCCAGTTTCAATTAAGGTTGATATATTATTAAGGGATCTATTGAGGGTGAGTTAAAATTGTTTATTTTGAAGTAATTAACCATTTTTATGAAATATGGTGTAATGTGAATTACACATATGATATATTTATTTAATTATTTTTGATTTAATATATGAATTTGATATATATATATAAATTTGGCATGGATTTATATGATATATGGGCAAAATATGAATTTAATATTGTTGTGTTTGGACCGATGGGTCCCCCAGTCTGAATGGGAATAATACAGTCCGTGATCGGGGGTCCGGGATGGTCAATGACTGGATCCAGGGGGCCGGGTTTTATCGATTTAGTCATGGAATCACTTGGACAACGTAATTTCCAAAGTTTATTCGAATAAGTGAAATTACAACAAAAAAAGAAATTCAATTTAAAACGCACGAAAAATAATTAATGATTAATGGTGTTTTGTTTTCCACCTTTATAATTTTTAAAACAAAAGGGAAAATAAAAGTTGTTATTTAATCACGATATAATCATTCATGAAACTGGTAAGAACCAGTTTCAAATGCAATATAAAAATAAGGTATAATATATTAATTTCATAACAAAATAAAGGAAGATGGGAAAACAAAAGAAACAAGTAGAAACAAAAATAAAAGAAATAAGGGGGGAATAGAACATAACACTCCTCCCCTCTTAAATACGGCTACCCGGCCGTCGGCGCCGATTTCATTCTTAATTCCTACAAAAATAAACCAAAACGGCATTCGCCGCACCGCTGGTTTAGAGCGGATTTAATAACGAAGGTAGATACTACCTTAATAAAATAAAATAAACGGCATTCGCCGCACCGCTGGCGGATTTAAAAACGAAGGTAAACCCTACCTTAAGTCGATAAAATAACTAAAACGGCATTCGCCGGACTGCTGGTTCAGAGCGGATTTAATAACGAAGGTAGATCCTACCTTAAGTCAATAAAATCAATAAAACGGCATATAAAATGAATAAATAAAACGGCATTAAGGTAGATCCTACCTTAAGTCAATAAAATAAATAAAACGGCATTCGCCGCACCGCTGGTTCAGAGCGGATTTCATTACGACTAAATTTTTAAAACAGTGGACATAAAAAAAAAGGAATTTGTAACAGGTGGAAGACCACACAAAAAAATCAATATATATAAAATCAAAATAAAAAAAAGGTGTTTTTGTGGGAATACGGCATTTTCCTCCCCTCTTAAACTGGGCTACCCCGGGGTGGTAGGTCCAAGAGATCATGTGGGTTATTTAAAATTTGTTGAGTCTGTTTGTACGCAGTGGTACGTTGGGTTGGGTCGTAGGTATATTTCGAGGAGTATACTGAGAGGAGTTATAATTGTTGAAAGTTTGTTTCATTGGGCAATTGTATTTATAATGCCCCACGTTCCCGCAATTGTAACAGGTTGGGTTATCATTCCGTGGTAAATTCCGACGTGGGGGTTGATAGTAATTCTCTAAAGTTTGCGGGGTGTTTTGTACATGCGTATACTTTGTGGGTATGTTTATTTGGTTGCTGTATGCGTGGTTCGTCACATTATTTTGGTTAAGCGCTTCAGCCATTTCCCAGGTTTGCGCAATTTTTAGCTTCCCTTTAAACGTTATATTATCGGACGTGATTACGTGACCTCTTATTCCGGAGGATTGTATCCCCGCTCCGAATTGGGAGGACAGGAAGTCCCAGCTGGGGCCTAGATCGCACTGTGAGGCCAAAGCTATCAAAGCTTCCGCATATTCAGTAATCGTTTCGCCCTCTTGCTGGATGCGTTGACGAAGCTTGTTGATTGATAGACCTTTGTTGTTATTATTGTTTCCCAAAACCGTTTTTACGTCCTCTATTGACATTTCCAACATAGGCCTTGGTGCAAAGGCTAACTTTAATTTTGAATATAGGATGTGACCGCATGATGAAAAGAATAAGGATAGTAAATTTGCCTCAGGTTGATGTCGGTGGATAAGCATAAAACGCTCAAGGTAATGATCTGTTGGCTCTTCCGGGTCGTAGATTATCGAATGTACGTTGGGCGCCAGTGTTGTGTTTGGACCGATGGGTCCCCCAGTCTGAATGGGAATAATACAGTCCGTGATCGGGGGTCCGGGATGGTCAATGACTGGATCCAGGGGGCCGGGTTTTATCGATTTAGTCATGGAATCACTTGGACAACGTAATTTTCAAAGTTTATTCGAATAAGTGAAATTACAACAAAAAAAGAAATTCAATTTAAAACGCACGAAAAATAATTAATGATTAATGGTGTTTTGTTTTCCACCTTTATAATTTTTAAAACAAAAGGGAAAAAAAAGTTGTTATTTAATCACGATATAATCATTCATGAAACTGGTAAGAACCAGTTTCAAATGCAATATAAAAATAAGGTATAATATATTAATTTCATAACAAAATAAAGGAAGATGGGAAAACAAAAGAAACAAGTAGAAACAAAAATAAAAGAAATAAGGGGGGAATAGAACATAACAAATATATATATAAATTTGTATGGATTTATATATATGGGCAAAATATGAATGTGATATATATAAATTTGTCAGGGATTTATATGATATATGGGTTAAATATGAATTTTATATATATATATAAATTTGGTATGGATTTTATATTAGTAAAAGTTGGATATATATATAAATTTGGCATAGATTTATATGATATATTGGTAGAAATGATGGTACTGAATATTTTTTTTAAATGATGAAATCTTTATATTTAATATATATTAATTTTTAAATTATAAAAATTTTTATTTGCATGTATTAACTGTTTATTGTAATTTTTATTAAAGGGAAAATATTTTTATGGATAAGGTCAGTCAGGTGTTAATGGGTATGCCTCAAAATGTAAATATTGTTTAGTTTAAATACTTGCGAAAGTTCTTTTTTTAAATTTTTTTTTGTATTACATTTTTCTTTTATCTTCGTAAGAATTTTATAACACATCACATTTTACTATGTATATTATGAACATGTATTTTTTTTTTTAAATGAACTTAAATTATTTTATATTGTGAATGTTATATTAAAAATTCTCTACATGTATACCATATATCCCATTATATTCTCAATTTTTGTTACTTTTCATTCTACATTTCTGTGAATCCATGCTAATTGTGATGGCAGGGTTAAGAAGAAATGTTATATTTTTCTTAGGATACTGAGTAATTCCTAGGAGAAAAATATTTTATTTCCTACGTATTTTATATTTTTCCTCCCTATAAAATATTAAATTTATCTTTATACATGTTCCTTGTAATTTTATTTAAAATCTTTGTTCGGCAAATTTTTGCAATTCTTTTTAATACCTAAAAATGGATTTTTATATCTATTTTAGGAGATTTTTATAAAAAATGTAGTTTTATTTATATGACAGAAGGAAAATTACATGTGTTGATATTGCATTTCACACATAGACCATTTGTTCACATTACAGCATTATATGTAAAATCATTATTTCCTAATTCTCATTAATCAGACCCCGAATAATGTATATTATAACTTCTAGTTCCCAAATGTCTTAAAATAAATGAATTATTATGCTTTGCTGATATTACATTGTCAATATTAATGTTCCATAGATTATAAATACGGATACCACGATGTAAATATCATTATTGATAATATGTTTTCCCGCGATTATATATTGAAATGTATCAGAGATATTATACTATAAATCATCATAAAAGGAGGCTATTAGATAAATTCCCTGAACGTTTTCAAGGCGTACCGAAAGTTGATACAATTCAAATGAACAATTCGATACAATACCACCGGAGAGGAGGCTGGGCTTGTGAAGGGTGGGCGTGTTGTGCAGTTAGAAAAAGAATAAATAAATTTAATATAATATACTAAATGTCAGTAATTTTTCTGATATGAAAATTAATTTTTCTTGGGAGAAGAAGAGAGAATGTGGAGATTAGGAGATGCCAGCTGAAAAAGAACAAAGAAGATATATTGGATTACTGGAACCGATTTTGTAATGTGTAAGTTATGGGTTATTTGTTTACATATTTTTATATTAATGTTTATATTATTGTTTATGATACTAATTAGATTTTTTTGTGAATAAATTGGACGTTTACCATTGGAAGTTTATAGTTTGGACTTATAAATTAACCTAACAGGGTCTACCTATATTTTATCTAAACCATCCTTCTACGCCGACGTTATTTTGAATTTAGCGGTGATTTGATTTGCGCCTTTAAGTTATTTGGTTTAAGGATTCAGCACGATTCAGAAAATATTAAAGTTTTATTCCAGTAGTTTAGTTCACTCCATTAATTGCCACCAAAAATCTATCTCATTTATAGTAAAAAGATATTTTTATAGAATCAATTTTACAGGTAAGGTAAGAATATAAAAG